AACCCACGCTGATAGAGTCCAGACACAGATAAAGTGTTGGAGGTGACTCAGTGCTGCTGGAACAGTTTGTACTATGAAACAGGGAAGGCGTGTTTGTTTGTGATGCCGGCAGCAGAGCAGAGCAGGAATCTGGTGGAGGAACGTCGCAGTAACACAATCGCAGAGCAAACTCCTCCCTGCAGCCGCGATCAGCTCCTCAGATCCGTGTTCCTATCCTCCGTCGGATGCATCCTTCAGCTGCTGCCTCCTTTAACTCTCAGTGTGGTAAATAGGTCATTGTCTCCCGCTCTGCAGAACTGGGTCAATTCACATGAATCAGTTTAAAGAAGCAGCACACACACACACACACACACACACACACACACACTCAAATGAGGTTAAGTCCCTCATTCAAAATGCATAAACAAGCCTGTCACACACACTCAGACACACACCGGGCAGATCCACTGTGGGTGTTTGCTGTCATCATCGCTGCCATATGCAGCACAGCACAAACACACTCCAACACACAGCAGCGCATCGTGTTGTGTGTTGTGCATCCAGACACACACACGCAGCACATCAGCACTGCAGCTAACAGCCACCGTTGTCGTTCTGTGTCTCTTTGTGGGTCGTTTTGTTGCGATTTTGTGTCTTTTTGCATCTTCTGTTGTCGTTTTTTGGGGTAATTTCCCTTTTTGTCATCAGAAAGGCGATAACTCTACTTTATCTCTACAGCAGGTGATGCTGCAGTAGTTTTTAAAAGTCTTACAAATGTTGTCTCCCTCAGGAATGTTAAAGAAATGGACAAAATATTAGAAGTCCAAAGAGGAGGGTCCAGATTTATCACCATTTCTGAGCCTCAGAACTTCATCAGTACAGCAGATAGACACATGACATTTAGGAGGAAGAACACATCTGAGTTCTGGTAGAAACTGACACCAGATCAACACAAAAAAAATAAATTAAATAAATCACAGTTACCACAAAATCGCCACAAAAATATGTGAAATAACCACAAAAAGATGCAAAATCAATACAGAGAGGCACAAAATCACCACAGAAAGATGCAAAATCACTACAGAAACAGATAAATCACCACAAAGATGTAAAGTCACAACAAAAAACACACAAATTACCACATTTAGAGGAACAATTACCACAACAACAAGCAAAATCACCACAAAAAGATGCAGAATCACAATTAAAAAACTCACAAATTCCTGACAGGAAGAGGTGAAATTATGACCAAAAAAAAGTCACAAAATCACCATAAAAGACTAAATCTGGTTCTGGTCATGTCCTCTGTAGCATCAGTATTATGGGATGTCTCATAGTGGTAACAGTCAGACTGCAGCAGTTTAACGTCTCTGACATAAGAGTCATGGAAACAACCATCGGTACCCTGGATGTGTTTCTGGTTTCTGATTAGAGAAAACTTTACAAAGTGCATTCTGGGTAAACTGTCCAGGCTCATATCAGCGTGTGTGATGGTGGTTGGTCAGAACAAGTTCTAGACGATGGAAGGACCATTTTACATGTCTGCATTTTGACACAAAGGTTTGGACAATTCCCTTAACTTAGCTTGTTGTCATAACTTTAAAAAATTGATGTTGTGTTATTTTTTGTTGAGTTAAAACTTGTTCCGTAGTCCAGCTGTAACAGAACCGTGAACTCTGCCTGCCTGAATCTACCCAACACTTCTCCCATCTATAGGTGACTCACTGTGACATCAAACATTTCTCTGTTTCCACCTGATGAGTCACAGAAGGTGATTCCCCAAAAAGAGTGACTCACAACTCAACAGCTCTGAGATCAGCTTCACCGCAAACATCAGATCAACCACCACGGTCACAGCTCTGAGATCACCGCAAACATCAGATCAACCACCACGGTCACAGCTCTGAGATCACCTCAAACATCAGA